TAAATAAGGCCCTGTTCGGTTCATAAGTCCTAGGACTTTTTTTAGTCCCAACTAAAAAGTCCCTAATCCCTAAAAGGTTCATCCTTGTTTGTTTCCAGGGACTAAAAAGTCACTAGTCCCTTCCTAGAGGTTATTAAATGACCATGTTACCCCTAATATACAGAAAAATAATAACCAAACACCACCATGGGGCGGCGGAGCAATGGGTGCAGGGAGGGGCATTGTTGAAAAAGTTTCAGAAAAGACTCTCCTTGAGAGTCTTCTTCATTTAGTCCCAAAAAGCAACTTCTAGTCCCTAGTAGTCCCTCCTGTTTGATTAAAAAGTCTTTAAGAGGGACTTTTTCTAGTCCCTACACCAAAAAGTCCCTGGAAACAAACACCCCCTAAATCTCCACGGTGGTTCTTTTCATCTCCCATGCATCAATAAATCACCACCAAGGTCTTCCAGATTCTTCTTCTCTCCTATTTATATATGCCACTCTCCACCTACGTCGTTGCAAGAGAACTGCGTGTTGACCCTGTCCGGGAGTGCTGACCCAAGCCATTTGCCCCTGTATCCACCCAACCTCTCAGCGAACCATGCTTGCCACCATCGGCATCCTCCTTCAACATCACGCGCTCTAGAGGTGGGGCTCTCTTTCCGGTCTATCTCCTCTTATCTGAACATCTCTTTCTTTTACTAAGTTTGTTTGTTGGTTGTAAGCTTCCATTCCTAGCCGGAGTGTAGCTCGGAAGGACGAGGGTGCCAGCCCCAGGTGAAGTTTGGCGGCATTGATGGAGTCTATCCAGATGCCGACCATACACAGGACCGCCGGATCCCAATCGAAATAGCGTCTCAGTCGCCAAGGTAGGAGCAGGAACTAGCGTCTCAGCAGGATGCCAACCGTCTCATAAGCTTTCTCTCCGGATCTCCACGTCTGTGTTTCCCCCTCAAGGCATGGACATCACGTAATGTGACAAAGAATAAGACGTGTATTTGCTTTTTTAGTATATAAGAGATGCATATTTGTTGTCCATGTCTACTGTGTATTATTGTTTACACAGGTTCTTTTTTAATTTTTTAGTGATTGGTTTGTGGTTGAAGTACATGTATTGCGATTTATATGTGGATTAAGGCCATGTAAAAGTTCTAAGATGTATACATGTGTTGCTACTAGACTTCTGCATATTTTATGCTTTCGCTTTTGACTGGTTTGCGTTACAAACTTAATTATAATTCAACAATCATTTGTGTTAGTGGTTTTGTTTGCCCTCAAGCTAGGCTTCATGGTTTTGTCTCGCCTCAAGGTATGCGTTGGACTTCCAGGCTTTTGTATTGGGTCTAGCATGGCCTTTACTTTCACTGAATCATTATGTTTCATACCATGCCTGGGCATGTATTTAGATAAATACTCATCAAATTATATGTTCATTTTTTCATATTAGCGGTGCATTTAAAATTCTGCGTAGAAAAAGTAATGTATTCTAATTATGTATACATGGAGACACTCACAATATACTGAATTCTTTACTTTCTGTATCATACCATCAAAAGTTCAATTAGACATGTATAATATGTATTTATTTATTCATTATTTACTATTTTTCACTGCACAATCTTCCTTCTATGCAATGCTATAAATTCCCGCAGCAAAGCGCGGGCTGTCATCTAGTTTAACATGGATTTGGTTACCATCTCCAAACATATCCTCTTTCTCCGATATTTTTTCTTGTACCGTAGAGTTGGGCCAAAAACCAGCTCCAACAGCTCCACTTTTTCTAATATTTTTTGGTGAAAAGAAAATAGCCCATCTCCGAGGGGAGTTGGCCCTCTTCCAAATTCCCACAATACACGCCACTACCTGAAAAATCCCCCGTGTTGCCACCCGCCGCCCCATGACCACCGCCACCACCTGTCGTGCCACCGTTGAGAGACTGAGATATCTCATTGACAAGTTGCGGGCCTATGTTAGATTTAATATTAGAAAAGTGATTATTGGCGACCTGCGAAATCATTTATCCCCATAACTCAAAAAATAACGCATCTTTTCCTTTCCCTCATGCCTTTGTGCCTAGGGTAAAGTTCTCGTACCCTCCAAGCTTCATAGCCAAGCCCATGGTTCACTCACACCCTTTGCCTACCACACTACAAGAAATATGTCAACTTGTGACCACCACTATTGGTCACTGAAAGGTCAAAAATTTCCATTTGCGACCTTTTTGTGACCAAAAATAGAAGGTCAAAAGCTAGCCATCATAAACTGACTATAGCGACCTTTCTTCTGGAATGGTCGAAGACGTTTATGACCAAACTGTGGCGTTTTGGTCACTAGCAACCTCCCCAAGCCACGTAGGCATCCAGCATGGCAAGCTGATGTGGCACAAGATTCAGCCCGGTCCAATTCGGTTTTCTACATGGGCCTAGCCCAACAATTCGGCCTTTTTACTGTATTTTTTTCTTGTTAATTTTTGCTAGCTACATGGGCTTGGGCCATTAATTCGACCTTTTTTTTCTAAGATGCAGCCTTTTACAGTCTATTGATATTTTATTTTCGTCCTTCTTTTTGCCACTGGTCCCACCAATCAGATTGGTCCCACTTGTCATGCTTATCATAAAATTGATCCCACACATCAAAAATTTCAAAATCTGTCAAACAACTATTATAACTTGGACCCCCTTGTCAGGTTCCATTTGACAGGTATTCAATACCCAATCATTATTTCAAACAATCCAAATAGCAAATGAAATTCGTCCAAAACAACACGGCATTAGTCTATTACAAACATTACAGTATACTACAGCCCAGATAAGCCTACTACTGCCTACATTTACAACACATAATATGCTAGTCTTTGTTGATATGCTTCACAGCTTCGAACTTGGATTTGCACTTCACCTGTGCAAAAAACAAGAATGAACATATAAGAATAAGAATCTGTACAGAACATCAAACAGTAGCCAATGAGGGATCCAATAACTTATAAGCAAGAATTGACAGCAAACATGTATTGATACCTAGTGTTGACTGTATCTGCATCTAAACTGAATGTTGATCCAAAGTGTTGACTAAATCTGCATCTAAACTGAATACTCTTAACTGAACATAGACAAGTGATATGCTAATCAGGTGTCAGAATGATATCTGATTCAACAAGGTTAACCAAATTTCCCACATAGTTTTGGGGAAATTCTATTTATCTACAGTGATTGGTAGCTATTGATGGCAATGTGACAGTACAGACAGACTTGTGGCTGCTCATTTGTATTCAGGTAACTATGGCAGTGACGCAAATAGACTTGTGGCTGCTCATTCACTAGCTATGGCAATGATGCAAACAGACTTGTGGCTACTCATTCACATTCACAGCAACACTTCATCATTCATCTACAAGCAACTATTGACCATCATATCAGACGGGATAGGAAGGGTCACCTGACATATTGAACTCGATGCTGCAGGAGGCCGATGATGTGGTGGTATAGAGCAGGCCCTTTGTGGCTGGCTAGATGCGCCCCTCCTCCTCCTGCTCCTCGAGCAGGACAAGGACGGCGGCCGCTAGGCTCGTTGAGATCGGGATGCTGGGGGAGGCGAGCACGCCGTGAGGTACTCCATGGCGTCGGGCGCATCATGTGCGGCAGGATGCCGATCGCCAGGTTGACCGCGATCACGAACAGCAGCGTCACCAGCACCGCCGCCTGCACGCATTCCAGCCATGTTGATAGTGTCAGAAACTCGACTGATTTTCAAAACGAAGTACTGCTGGTGCTGCTACCGCTGCAGAATTGGTTGGAGATGCACCCACCTTGTTGGTGTAGATGGTCCAGTTGGTGAAGAGCTCTGACAGCATGGCTCCGAGCTGCCCAAAGAGCGCACGGAGGCGCCCACAGAGATGTTGTCTCTGATGAACATGGTACGTTGAGATTGCAAAGCAGTCCTCCCCTCTTGTCACAGACACTACAAGACATCACATCTTTCAAAAAAATTTAACCAGTCTCAAGTTAACTTGTGCAGTAAAAGTTACCCTACACCTACAAAACACAACCATGCATGTACAGGCACTATACGTACACAGCAAGACATATCAACATAGACCATAAATGTTCAGGGTTATGCATGATGGATGTTGAGCACTTCTGTTGCTTATTCAGAGTAAAAAAGGGTACCACAAAAAATTTAAACATATTCTGCTACACGGAACCATGAGCTACCCATTTAGCAAGAACGGTACAGGAACAAACCATGAGCTATCTATCCAGCATATTATGCGCACGCGTGAGAATACTCGGGTATACTTAACTTGGGTTTAGTACCCAGGTACAGTTTAAAAGCATATCAGATTAGGTATACAATCATGCACCTGGGTTTAACTTATCAGGTTTCTTCACTTTTAATTTACACAGCAGAGCAGCTAAATTTACACAGCAGATTTTGAAAGCAACTATAGTTATTCAGAAAACATGGTTGCTGCAACTTTAAGCCAAGCAATACACATTCATGTCAAATATACATGTGTAAGATACTAGAAGCATTTCATTGCATATCTAAGTGTACTGCTATAATTTTACGCCAAGCAGTGCACTAGTACATCAATTACACTAAGCCACAGCCCACTGTTTAAAATAGTATTTTATCATCATTCTTCAACAGCTTGAATTTCAGAACAGCCACTGTTTGTATTTTAATGAAAAACACCCCAAGCAAATAACAACAGATGGGCATTAAGACAAAAAAAATTGGCAATCGCAGCATCATGTTTCAGCAGCAATGCAGCTACGGACAGCAATATGCATCGGGTGGCAACAATAACATCAACAAGTAGAAATAGCAGCATGTCAATCACTGTATAATCAATCAGTAAGCACAAATAGCAGCAGCAAGCATTCTCTCAATCACAAACTACACTAATCAGCACCCCTCTCTCTCAATCTAAATAGCAGCAGCGAGCACGATAGGAGACCGAGTTGGTTATCCAACGGGAAGTCAGACCAATATGACATGGAAAGGAATCATCCGCAACACTCATATAGCACTACTGAAATGTATAGCATTTAAAAGGTTGGTGTCGACGGCGAGGTAGGAGCCCTCACGCGTCCAGTGCACGGCGCAGACGCTGTCCCTCGGCCCCAGATCGCACAGCTTGGTAACCTGGATAACGGTGCCATTAGCAATCTGACCTGAGCGTGATCCATGGATGCAACAAGAAGATGCAAGAAAGAAAGAAAGAAATGCACCTTGCAGCTGGATGCGGACCAGAGGTAGACGCAGGTGCCGAGGCCGACGGCGAGCATGTTCTGTGAGGACCAGTCGACGAGGTTCAGGTAGAAGTCGTCCTGCAGGGACGGCGCGTCCAGCACCTGCACGCCGGCGACGACCACACACCAGTTAGTAGTAGATCGGAGATCGGAGAATTCGGCGCGCGCGAGGTGTTTGCGGGAATGGGCGGGCGGGCGGATCGAACCTTGTGGGACGTCTTGGGGACCTTGCGGGGCGCCTTCTTGGGGGTGGGGGAGCCGGCGCCGCCGGCGCAGTCCAGCTTCTCGGTGAAGGGGGAGAAGGGTGCGGAGGAGCGGTCCGTCTTGAAGCGGAAGAGGTTGTTGGAGCGTGCCCGGCGACGACCTGGCGGGTGGAGTCGTCGTGCCCGGCGACGGCCGCCTCCATCTGTATCCGCCTGCGTGGGGAGCTAGCGGACGAGTGGTGCGGCGATGGAAGGGGAAGCCGAGACCCCTCGCTTCCCCCACCGCGGCCTCCATCGGGTGGGAGACGGAGGGAGACGAAGGCGGGGCAGCGGGGTGCCTCGATCTGGATCGAGGAGAGGGAGGCCGCGCGCTGGATCTTGCCGGAGGGGAGGGAGGAGCAGAGCATGGGGATCTTGGAGCGCGCTGGATCTTGCCGGAGGGGAGGGGAGGGAGGAGAGCGAGGGGAGGGGTGGGTGGCGGCGAGGGGAGGGGAGGTGGGAGGGATCGGGGAGCGCTAGGGTTTGCGGGGGAGGAGTGCAGGCTATGGCCTGTGGGTTGTTGGGCTAGGTGGCGTGAGAAACGTGATGAGGGAGCGCTGCCGTTGGATCCGGGTGGATCGGACGGTGCTCGATCCATAATCAATGTGACATGCCTCTGAACCAATCAAAACAGAGTACATGTGCGCGACATCCATGACCATTTAAGTAGGTCGTAACCGGCTGAAAATAAAGTGCACATCTCTTTGGCTAAGAGAACTGACTCTTTTTGCGCCGTCTTTCGGCGGTTCCCCTCCGCCGGTGACTTCTTGGTCGTCAGCGGTGAGGAGGGTCGTCGGATCCCGCGCGTGTGGATCATTTTAGCTTTAGGTTTTAGGGTCCTAGTAGCTTAGGTTTTAGGGTCCTAGTAGCTTAGGTTTTTGGATCATTCGATGTCTCGACTTCAGGGGCGGAGGCGACATGTGGCGCCCCCGATTCAATCGTACACTAATCATGCACGCAATGGTGTACGATCAAGATCAGGGACTCACGGGAAGATATCACAACACAACTCTAAAAATAAAATAAGTCATACAAGCATCATAATACAAGCCAGGGGCCTCGAGGACTCGAATACAAGTGCTCGATCATAGACGAGTCAGCGGAAGCAACAATATCTGAGTACAGACATAAGTTAAACAAGTTTGCCTTAAGAAGGTTAGCACAAACTGGGATACAGATCGAAAGAGGCGCAGGCCTCCTGCCTGGGATCCTCCTAACTACTCCAGGTCGTCGTCAGCGGGCAGCACGTAGTAGTAGGCACCTCCGGTGTAGTAGGGGTCGTCGTCGACGGTGGCGTCTGGCTCCTGGACTCCAGCATCTGGTTGCGACAACCAGAAAGGAAGGAAAAGGGAAAAAAAGGGGGGGAGAAGCAACCGTGAGTACTCATCCAAAGTACTCGCAAGCAAGGAACTACACTACATATGCATGGGTATATGTGTAAGGAGGCCATATCAGTGGACTGAACTGCAGAATGCCAGAATAAGAGGGGGATAGCTAAACCTATCGAAGACTACGCTTCTGGCAGCCTCCGTCTTGCAGTATGTAGGAGAGAGTAGATTGAAGTCCTCCAAGTAGCATCTCCAAGTAGCATCTCCAGTAGCATCGCATAGCATAATCCTACCCGGCGATCCCCTCCTCATATCCCTGAGGTAGAGCGACCACCGGTTGTATCTGGCACTTGGAAGGGTGTGTTTTATTTAGTGTCCGGTTCTAGTTGTCATAAGGTCAAGGTACAACTCCAAGTCGTCCTGTTACCGAAGATCACGGCTATTCGAATAGATTAAACTTCCCTGCAGGGGTGCACCACATAGCCCAACACGCTCGATCCCATTTGGCCGGACACACTTTCCTGGGTCATGCCCGGCCGCGGAAGATCAACACGTCGCAGCCCCACCTAGGCAAAACAGAGAGGCCAGCACGCCGGTCTAAACCTAAGCGCGCAGGGGTCTGGGCCCATCGCCCTGAGCACACCTGCACGTTGCGAGGGCGGCCGAAAGCAGACCTAGCCTAGTGGCGTTCCAGTCCAATTCGGCGCGCGCCGCTCCGTCGCTGACGTCTGAAGTGCTTTGGCTGATACCACGACGTCGGGATACCCATAACTACTCCCACGTAGATGGTTAGTGCGTATAGGCTCGTAGCCAGACTCAGATCAAATACCAAGATCTCGTTAAGCGTGTTAAGTGTCCGCGAACGCCGAACAGGGCCAGGCCCACCTCTCTCCTAGGCGGTCTCAACCTGCCCTGTCGCTCCGCCACAAAAGATCCACACAGAGGGCCGTCGGGACAAAGGTCCTTTCAGCCCCCAATCCGTGAATCACTCGCGGGTACTCTTCGAGCTGACCCGACTTTAGTCACCATCTGTATAGTATGTATGTATGTATAGTATATACCCGTGATCACCTCCCAGGTGATCACGGCCCGATAGTATAGCAAGGCAGACTGACAAGAATGTAGGGCCAATGATGATAAACTAGCATCCTATACTAAGCATATAGGATTGCAGGTAAGGTATCAACAGATGTAGCGACAATGTCAGGCTATGCATCAGAATAGGATTAACGAAAGCAGTAACATGCTACACTACTCTAATGCAAGCAGTATAGAGTAGAATAGGCGATATCTGGTGATCAAGGGGGGGGCTTGCCTGGTTGCTCTGGCAAGAGAGAGGGGTCGTCAACTCCGTAGTCGAACTGGTCAGCAGCAGCGTCGGTCTCGTAGTCTACCGGAGAGAAGAGGGGGAAGAAATAATGAATACAGAGCAAACAAAGCATCACAAAATATAACAAGGCAATACGCGGTGTTCGGTGTGCCCTAACGCGGTAGTAGGTGATACCGGTGAAGGGGGGAAAACATCCGGGAAAGTATTCTCGGTGTTTCGTGTTTTCGGGCAGAGGAGCCGGAGGGGGAAAGTTGCGAGTTCGATAGGTTAGGGGTGTGTGGCGGACGAACGGGTTGCGTATCCGGATTCGTCTCGTCGTTCTGAGCAACTTTCATGTTGAAAATATTTTAATCCGAGTTACGGATTAAAAGATATGATTTTTAAAAGATTTTAACAATTTTGGAATTTAATTATTTATTTAATTAATTCGAAAAAATGTATTTATGACGTCAGCATGATGTCATGCTGACGTCAGCAGTCAACAGGGGTTGACTGAGTCAACCCTGACATGTGGGTCCAGTGGGACCCACCTGTCATTCTCTATTTAAATTAATTAGGGTTTAGGTTAATCTAATTACAGTTTAATTAAACTTAACTAGTTAATTAATTTAATTAAACCGGATTAATTAACTTAATTAATTAATTAATTAATTAATAATTTTATTAAATCATTTTAATTTTATTAATTATATTTATTGTTTTTATTTATTTTATTATTTATTTATTTATTTAATTTGTTTTATTTTTTATTTTTATTATTATTATTATTATTTTTGCGTTCTGGGGGTGGGGCCCCCTATTCAGTGGCTCATTCGAGCCACCAGGGGCTAATGGGCGCGGGCCAAACGGGGCTGCAACCGGGCGGAGCCCCGGGGCGTTTGGGCGCGAGCGCCGGCGTCCAGGGGCCGCGACGGCGACCGAAGCGGGGCTGGGACGGCGAGCGGCTGTGGCGCGAGGCGAGGCGGGGCGATGGCGCGGTCGGTGGTGCCCGTGCACGTGGCCGAGGCGACCAGGGGGG